CCCTGGCGGGAGGTTTGGCGCCTAGAATAAGTTCAATCTCATGATCAATCGTCCTTTTTAGTGGTAATTTCTTTGATAATTCTTCCGGCATAATGTCCTCAAATTCCTGAATAAGCCTTTTAAAGGGTTTTGGAATAGGACCATTTGCCTCCTCTAATCGAAGAGTGCACAAAAAAGAGGGTTCATTTCTCTTGGAACCCTTACTAAATTGCATGGCTGAGATACTCTCCTCGTCCATCCTCCCAACCTATGTAGGGATGACACACAGCTTATTACCCATCATCATTAATGAATCGGAATATGGCAACACTGCTGTCTTAGTATCCCGAAGAAATTCCAATCCTAGAATAAGTTTGAAATCATTCGTCTGAACTGCAGATAAATTTGTCCTTCCCTCGAAAGGACCTGCTTTGATCAATACCGATTTCGCCACTCCAGCTATTGGTTGTGCAGCGAAGTTGATTGCTTTGACTTTTCCACTACCCTTTTCTAGAACAAGTCCGAGCCGCTCTACTTCGGTACATGCAAGGTAGTTGTGGGTAGCAGCAGTATCCACCATAGCCCTGATTGGCTTTCCATTAATTTTCACATCAATGTACATTAAGCCTTTAGCCCTACAAATTTGAGCCTTCGCTTCTTCCATCTTTGCCTCTTTCAATGGGACATCATCCTTTTTAGCAACCCGATGCGACAATGTGTTGCACCGATTTGAAAATGCCCCCAATTACGTTCTCATCCTCTTCAAAGTCGGTCTCACTATGACAATTAGCCTGCGGGGCCTCTTACTTTGAATTTGACCCGCCACTTGCTAACTGACAATATGCATTCACCATCCATTTTTTAGGACACTTCGACACCCGATGAGGTCCTTCACATAAAAAGCACTTCAATTTGGGAATGACATCAGTTCGGCCGTCCGTTGCTTTTCCTTTGTTCCAGTTGTTACTGTTGCTCCCATTAAAATTTTCTTGACGGCTATTATGATAGTTTCCCTGAAAGCCACAGGTGCTTTGATAGGCTCCTTCTCTATTCTGATAGTAACGTTCTCCCCCATTTGGGTTTGAGCTGGGTCTGTAAGATCTGTTACCACTTCCAATTGCTTGACTACTCCCCGAAGTTCGATCTTTTCTAGATTCTGTTTGGTAGTCGCTCAAGCATTCAGCGACTCCCATGGCCGTGCTCAAATTAGTAACCTTCTGTTTTTGAAGTTTCGTGCGTGTCCACGTTTTCAACCCTTCCATAAAGGTGAAGAGCTTATCCTTTTTTGACATATCTCGAATATAAAGCATATGCTCTGAGAAGGATTTCACATACTCCTTGATAGAGCTCGTGTGTTTCAGGTCTCGAAGTGCTCGTCGAGCCTGATACTCGACATTTTTCGGGAAAAACTGTGATCTGATCGCTTCATTAAGGAGATCCCAAGAATCTATTCAAACCCTGTGGGCCTGAATGTCAGCATATTTGGTTCACCACCATAGTTTTGCATCTCTACCCAGATACATTGTAGCTGTGGTTACCTTTCTAGCTTCGTCTTCGATCGAAGCTGCTAGAAAGTACTGCTACATATCAAATAAGAAGTTTTCGACTTCTTTTGCATCATGTGCCCCTCCGTAGGTACACGATTCAAGAATTCTGAGTTTAGGAGCAGACTCAGGTATGGGAGCTTGCCCATTGCCCACCGCACGTTGGAGTACCAGCAATTGAGCTCTCAACGCTTCCATTTCATCCCGTAGATCAGGAATGATTGCAGCAGCTTCAGTCATTACTGCGCAAGCCCTTTGGCTTTCATCCAGTTGGATGTGTAATCCACGAATCCCGAATTCGGCCATCTCAACTTTTTCCTCGAGACCTTCCAAAGCATAGCATAACCTAGTAGTTGTCTCATCAAGCGCATCCACGCGCTGTTAGTAGTACCCTTCTTTTGAGGCTCTACCACTTCAGTGGTGTGGGATGTAATTGGATCCATAGCTTTCTTATCGAGGGTCGTGAGCCGTGGCTCTGATACCAACTTTCACGAGGTGTCTTTCTTCTTGTCACAGAAAGGGACACTGTGTGGCAGTAGTCTGCTCCGCTAGATTACCTTCCGCCTTTTCTCGGTTGCGTCGAGACAAAAGAAAATTTGATTACAATTTTGTAGAAAGCTTACAATAGAGAATTTGAATACATTGAAAGTAAATTGAACATTGATTGATGAAAACTGAACATTACAATTGATGAAAGCAGAAAATTATAATTACTGGTGCAGGGGGCGGACATCAGTGAATTTGAAAGATTTTTGAATGACTAATACCCCCTATAATAGCATTCTGAATAAAAACCTAAGTGACAGGAGTAGACGTTTAAAAGACGAGGAATCATACTAAACGTTTACCAATATCAGAACTATTTTACAACTAAAATAACTATTACAATGAAAATAAAATTACAACTCAAATTTGAAATAATATTTACAATGTGCGGCCGAAGTTGGGCAAACTGCGACTGCGATAGTATCAAAGGGTTAAGTAAAGTTGCAGTCCTTGACACTAAGTCATGACTAGTGACTTTACCCAAGAAATTTTTGTGGGTATCATGGTTCTTGAAAATGTTAGTTAGGTAGTAAGAAATATTGTAATTTTTCAAGTATATAATTAATTTGCAAGATGAAAAGTTTTTAAAAATCTTTAATCAAAGTTTATGGAAGTCTAGGGAAGCCTTTTATTTATTTTAACAAATCCATAGAAGTCATTTAAAAGTTCATGAAATCCACAAAAATCATCCACTTAAAGAAGTCTATATAAGTCTTTAGAAGTATCAATTAAATATACCCCATTCGTTAGCATTTTATCGACATAAAATTTCTCTAAATTAATCAAATTTTGGGGAATACCCCTATCGTTTATATTCATTAGTTTACCCCTTAAAAATGGTTAATAGGGCTAAAATGAATAAAAATTCAAATGGTTTGTCCGTCTCTTCAATTCCAAACACTCACTTAATGCATCAAATTAAAGAAATTGATACTATATACAAGTGGTTAGTGAATGATGGAGATAGGTGATGAGTGATGGAAATTATTTTGTGATTTTATTGGACATTAAAGTTTAAAATGTCGGGTTTTGATCACTGAACTCAAGTCCATATTTTCGATTGTTCACTGAAATTTAAAATGTCAAGCTTTGGCAATTGAATTTTGAAAAATATTATACATTATTCACTGTAGACTTGATATTTTTCAAAATTCAACAGTTATACTAGTGAGTAACATACGACATTTTTCAAAGTTTAATGGTCAAACATCAACATTTTAAACTTTGATAAGCAATCGAAGACATGGCCTAAGTTCAATAATCAAAACTCGACATTTTAAATTTTAGTGACCAATCAAAAACATGAGCCTAAGTTCAATGACCATTGGAACAATAAATTCTGATATGGGTAGTGAATGGTGAAAACTAGACTTTCAGTTTTGTTGTTATTTGGTATTGGATGTTAGTGAATATTGTTCTAATGAATTTGATTTACCATTTAGTGCGGTATAAGCAGTTTTGTTGTAATATTTGAACTTTTCTGATTTTTATTTTGTTGATTCTAAATTTTAACGTTTATTGAGGAAGAAGAACAACAGATCTAGGATTAATCTCCTCATCCGACAATTACGTGATTTAGGAGGTTTCACATCAAATGAAATGTTGGAAGATAATTGAAAAATGTAAGGAGGTATTGCAGAATAAATTACCTAAAAACTTTTTAGAAAATAAAAAAATAAATAAGTAAAATATTTTAAAGGTATTTTTTACAAGTAAAAATGATTATATGTTTTATTTTTTGTATGCAACCACATTGAAGAAAGAATTGAATATTCATTGATCAAATCATTCACTCCATAGTTTGATAGATCTTTTAAAGAAATTGATCACATGTCAAAATAAAAAATGAACATAGACGTTCAAGAATTAATATGAAATTTATCTAGTTAAATATAAATAATCAAAATCGTAAAATCGTTAAAAGCATGTTCTCACCCATCTTAGATGACATATCTCTTCTTATTAATCTTGTAATAAACCGTTTAATCTACGATGCTAGATTTGAAAGCATCGTGTGCAATGTGCTCTTTGAGTGTATAAATTGAGGATGTATATTTATGGGGACTTAAGATGCAAATTTGAGTTTTATCCTGTGGGTTATGTTAGGGCCATGACCTGATAAGCCCACAAAGTCGTGACTAAGGAACGAAAAAAAGAGAGACCAAACGTGACACAATGAAATAAGTAAGGATAAATTACAGCAAGTAAAAATTACACATGATTTTTAACCTTCTAATTCAAAAGTAAGAATTCAAAGTTTTTTGTTCATAATTCAGATGATAAATTATCTTTTAAAATATTAATAATAACATTATAAAATTAAATTAATTCACCCCACCTCCATCCTACCCCCAACTCAATCTCATACAAACCCTAAAAGTCACTTCACATTCTTTCTTTCCCTCTTCCTCTTTTTCTCTTCTCACTCATTCCCTCATCCAATGTTGGAACCATTGCCTCCATCGTGGCCAGAGTACCTCTACTCGAGGCGGCGCTACTACTGCCCGAAGTGGTGTAGCTCCGCCTCGCATGCAGCAATGTGTTGTTGCTGCGTGCTACTGCTGCTACTTGTAGTAGCTTCATTCCATAGGTGCTCTAGTTGATGCTTCATTCCACTTCTCCAACAGCTTCATTCCACAGGTGGTGTCGGCTCTCCGTGATAACAATGATCTAATGATCCATACAAAAGCTCCTGCGACGATGATGTTGGGCAATGTTGATGGCGATGTGTATGTTGTGTTGGGGTTGCATTTATGGCGGCAGCGGTGCTTTTGTGTTAGGTTGTTGTGCTGTGTTTGTGTTGGTCGTGGTCATGACGGGTGATGGTGATGGTGCATGAGGTGATGGTGCTGGCGGTGGTCACAAGTGGTGCGATGGTTTTGTAGTGGTGGTGGTGTTGTTGGTGGGGGTCGCATGTGGTGCATACATCACTCATGTTCTGGTACGGGGGTGTTTGGTGATGTCGCCATCAGGCATTGATGATGGTGTCGAAATTTGTTGTGTGGTGGTGGTTATGCACGATCTAGTGAAGGTGGTGGCGCTGTTGGTGGTGGTAGCAACGATAAGGGTGCCATGGTCCTGGGTGCATGGGAATGGGAATGGGATGGGGTGTTTGTAACCAATAAATAATATGTGATCAAAAAAGTATGATCGTGACTTAAAATTTATTAAGTTGTGATCGAGAAATTACTTATGATCAATTAATTTAATAATTTGTAAGCAATAAATGAATCGTGACCAATAGAAGTTTTGATTTTGTGACAAATGTACAAACTATAATCTCTAAAAATTTTGATCTGTAACAAGGCCTGGGCATGATTCGGGTTAGATTAGGTTGGGTTGGTTTTTAGAGCAACTCAAAATAGAAATTGACTTGATTGGATTGGATAAATTCTAACCCAATCCAACCTAATCCAGTCGTTGAAACCGAACCAATCCAAACTAAATCGATTTGGGTCGGTTTGATTTGGCTAATTGGTTTGAAATTTGTGCGAATAAAAAAAAATTTATCAACCCATATTGGATTTAAAAAGAAAAAGAAAAAATATATATATATATATATATATATATATATTTACACCAAAATGAAAAGCAAGGCTACAATCTAAATTCTAAATTTACACCAAACATTTCTTCTTCTTGCTTTCTTTTCTTTTGATATTTAGAGTTTTGGTAGAAAAATATAGACAGTAAACAAAGTATTTGAGACAAAATTATATTTGTGTTCTTATTATTTTATTTTTTACATTTAAAAAGATGAATTTTAAAATAGAAAAAAAATGTATTTGCAGGTTGGGTCGGTTAATTAATGGGTTTGTTGCTTAAACCGAAATCAACCTAACCAACTTTTTTAATGATTAAAATTAATTGAACCAGGCCAATTTTTTGGTTCAAACCAACCCAAACTGACCGGAGCTAATTTGATTTGACCGGTTTTCATCGATTTTTTGGATTTTTTGCCCACGCCTATTTGTAACCGATAAACAATTTGTAATCTATAAATAAAAAAAAAATTGTTCTAGAAATAATTTGTGACTTAAAAATTTTCTTATTTGTGACCTAAAAATAATTTGTAATCAATTAATTCGATAATTTAAGACCAAATTGTATACATTTGTGACTTTAATATATTTAATTAATAAAATATTTTTTCAATTAATTATTTTTTAAATAAAATTTAATAATATCTGATTTTTGAAATTTAAATCTTATTTTTTCTTATTTTTGAAATAAATTATAGTTAAACTCTTATATATGAATTTTTTTCCTTACGGCAATCTTTCTCGGCCTTTAAGGTCATTTACACTTCCATCCCAAACCATTTTTTATTTTTATTTTTATTTTGGGACATTGAGACTCCCAACCTTTGAAAAATAGGCACCTTTCATCCAAATGCGTCTCCATCCATTTTTCTATTAGACCCTGTTTGATTATACCAAATTCTCCATTTTCCATCTTTTTGGCTACTTGATAGCTTTTTTTCCCAAGGAATTAGTTTTCTTTTTTTCTCAGGAAGGAGCATTTTTCCGTATTTTCATGGAATTCGAATTCTCGCCATATTGGTGAGAATTCGAATTCTAGGCATCTGTAGCGATTTTATTTTATTTTATTAACAAATTCTACCCCTAATTGTAACAAAATATTTTTCTTTAATTGACAATTTTTATGGAAAACATAGTCAAACGAACACCAAAAGATAAATGATTTTCTTGAATTTTATTTTTTTATTTTTTTGTAATAGAAACAAATTATATCCCCAATACTAGTAAATTTTATCCCCTTAATTGATAAATTTCATATAAAACAAAACAAAACAAACACCAAAAAATACTTTTATTTCAACAATTTTCACGTGAAAAATTATACCAATCAAACACAATAAATTGATAATTTCTAGACAATTCAATTTCCTAAAATTCATTTTCTTTACATCCGCATTCCATCTTTACAATCAAATGGACACTTGGTCAATTAATTCGGCCAGCATTCCCTAAGATTGAAAAGAGTGCAATTGTTATTCTTAATTTAAAAAGGAAAATAAAAAAATATTCAAGAGAAAAAACAAAAGAAAACAACAAGGATAAAAATTAAAAAAAGAAAAGAAAAGGCCGTATTCTAATTAAAATAAACGAGTCACTTATTGTTGTACTGTTTCTATGGAGTCGTGCCTAGTTACTACTTGCCATTTTTTCTTTTATTGAACGTTATATTATTTTATTAACTTTCACACGCAATCATCATTTTCATTTCTCTTTCTTTTCTTTATTGACTTTCACATGCAATCATCATTTTCATTTCTTTTTCTTCTCTCTGTCTTTTCTATTTTTCATCCAACTATCCACGCTTTTTACTCCACTTCCCTACACAACCAAGACTTCTTATTTTTTTCTTCTCTATTTTAATGATTTTCTAATCAAAAATTTATTTGTCATTTTTCATTGAATTTACAGTACAAGAGGATATCGTTTCCCTACTTTAAATAGCAAAATGATGCCATTTTATTCCATCAATATGATAAAAAGATTGAATATATCTTATATATAATTATAGAAAAATATTAATAATTTAATTATTAATAATTAAATCTTGATTAGTGTATGTTATATTCGCTTATTACCTTAGTGTTTGAAATGAATTTTTCTTTTTCAAAAATGGAAAAATCAAGATAATAATTAAAATTGAGAATCTTAATCTTAAGAATTATCCTTCTCAACTACATCTAGATAATATTCCATCCTACAAAAATTGTTTTAAAATTTCTTTTTCCTTTATATTATAAATAATTTCTTGTTTGGTTTAAAATTCTTTTTAATTTTTTTTTATGATATAAATACTTATTTTTTAGTCCAAACTTTATCAATGTCTATAAGAACCTCTATTTACATTGTCAAGTATACTTCTATTAAAGTTTTTATCTATAAAATTTTACATTTATCGATAAAGAAAAGTATTGATATCCCCAACTCTAAAACTCATCAAGTAACAACAAAAACAAAATTCGACTAATTATCATCATATCTTTTTTTACGCTATTATATACTCAATTACAGCATTTCACGTGTATTGCACGTGCATCTTACTAGTATTAAGAAAGAAGAGAAATCATCATTTTCTTTATTTAAACTACACTTCACCTCTTACCACCGCCAAACGTCGACACACTAGTTAGTCTAGGCGATTATTCCTTTCATTCTGCTAATAATGTCATATATTCTTTCACTCTCACACATCATTTTATCTGCAAGCCAAATTGTCATGTATGAATAGAGAAGAACCCTCTCTTATTGCTTTCTCGGAATGCCTAGCACACCCCTTCCTCCCCCGCTTCAGATGGTGTCGGGGACAAAGGTGTTGAGGTGAGTGCCAATGGTGGAGGTGGAGAAAAAAATAACACTTTCTTTTCTTTTCTTCTTCTTTTTTGTTTTTTTGCCTTTTTTCCCCTCTATATTTCCATTTTCAAAACTATTTTACCATGAATACTAAAAGAGTAATTGGCACAAAACGTCAATACCTTTCAAATTTATTGTGAAAAACGTTACTATCTTTCATTTTTTGGCATTTTTCTCCCTTACCTTTCACTTTTTTTTTTGCGTTGAATGTCCTTTTCAACAATTTTTAACATAAAATGACCAATATACCATCCTATTTAAATAAAACAAAAAAAAAAA